GCCTATGTCAAATTTGTGGAAGGGTGTACTTTCAGTGGCTGCAGAAAATCCTGAATTGCGAGATTTCTTTTTGCAAAATTTCAAGGTAATTGTTGGAAATGGCAGACGAGTGCGGTTCTGGATTGATAGGTGGATTAATAATCAAAGTCTGAATGAGGTATTTCCCAGATTATTTTCCTTGTCAGTTGAAAAGGATGGAACCTTGTTTGAGCATGTTCATAGCAGAGGTGTGGGTACAGCCTGGAATATTGATTTTAGAAGGCCTCTTCTTGCTTGGGAAGAGGAGGAAGTGTTGAAACTTAATGATTTGGTACAGAGAGCTCCTACACTAAATGATGGGGCTGAAGACTATTGCTATTGGTTAGCGCACCCTTCTGGAGTCTTTACTGTGTCATCAGTATGGAAGTGGGTGGTAGCATGTAAAGGGCCAACTATCCCAGTCACTAAAAGCATTTGGAATAACTTAGCTCCTCCCAAAGTACAGTTTCTGAGCTGGTTGGCTTGGAGAGGTAGGATTAAGTCCTATGAGTTTTTACAAAGGATTGGAGTATTGAATTCTAATGTTAGTGCACTGTGTGTGTTTTGTAAAGCTGAGGTGGAGTCTTTAAATCATGTCCTCCTTCACTGTCCTAGGATATGGAGAATATGGGCCAGTATTATGTGTTGGTGGAACTTGAGCTGGGCCATTCCTGGTTCAGTGGAGGCAGTACTCCACTGCTGGTTAGGTCCAATAATGAAGAAAAAGGTAAAGGAGATTTGGAAGATGATACCATTGGCAGTAATGTGGTCTGTGTGGAAACTCAGGAATGAGTGCATATTTAATGAAGCACAACCATCTTTGAATGAGTTGGCTGATCTGGTTAAAACCAGAATTGCTATGTGGGCTGTTTCTTCCTTGAGAGAGTTTAATTACTCGGTGCATGATGTGTTATATAACCTGAAGCAGGTCTGCAACTGTGTATAGATAAAGGGACCTAAGGTTGCTGAATTGTTGCTAGTATGCTGGTGCTGGTGAAGCACAACCATTTTTTTGGTATTTGTTTGATTGGGAGGGGTAGGACTGTATATGTAGCTTGCTGCTGGTATTGGGTTGTTTTGGATTCATCGGTCTTATGGGTCTTTTGTTTCATCAGTTCATATCTGGTATGTTGGGCCAATGTCTTGATCTGTGGAAGCTAATCTGATATGGTTTATCTGGGCTGTTTTGGCATTGTCAAAGTCCACTTCACTTTTCTTCCTGAGTTATTTGCTACTGTGATCATGCATTATTCAGTGCATGAAAGCTGTGTTTTGGCTGAATTCTACTCTACAGGTCTACAACAGTAGTGCCTCACTGCAACAGTTGTTTGTATTGGAGTCTTGGGGTCCTGCTAATGTGCCTAATTGCTCTGTTGCTGATCTGTATGCTATTTGGGAAGGCTCTTGCTTGCTACTGCTTTTGCTATTCATTGGTGACTACTAACTCAGGGTGGTTTTGGATCCTCACCCTTTTTGTTCATGATGGTTGTGAGAAGCTGCATATGGTTTTTGCTCTGGTTTTTGCTTTTGATCTGCAACAGTAGTGCCTCACTACAACAGGTGCTCTGTGCTGATATGTATGCTGTTTGGGAAGGCTGGTTTATCTGCTCTGGGCTGCTCTTGATTGCTGTTGCTTTTGCTATTGATTGATAACTACTAAATCAGGGTTAACTTGGCTGATATGCTGTAGGATTCTCACCCTTTTGTTCATGATGGTTGTGAGGAGCTGCAAGTGGTTTGCTGTGGTTCTGCTTCTGGCTTCTTTGTACTAGGATCTATCTGTTGCTATTGCATCTGTTTATCTGTCAATTTGGTGTTGCTCTTGTTTTGTTTTGTGTTGTTGGTTTCTCACCAACTTGGAGGTTGGAGCTAAAAGTGCACCTAGTTAGCTGGAAGGAGATTTGTCTAAGCAAAGATCAAGGTGGGCTAGGTGTGAGAAACCTAAGTCAAGTTAATGAGTGCCTCTTAATTAAATGGTGGTGGAGATATGGCAAAGAGGATTCAGCTTTATGGAAACAAGTGGTTTGCAGCAAGTATGGAAGTATGGGTGGCAGATGGAGCCTATTCTTAGGTGAGTCTCGGCTTATGTCTAATTTGTGGAAGGGTGTACTTTCAGTGGCTGCAGAAAATCCTGACTTGCGAGATTTCTTTTTGCAAAACTTCAAGGTAATTGTTGGAAATGGTAGACGAGTACGGTTCTGGATTGATAGGTGGCTTAATAATCAAAGTCTGAATGAGGTATTTCCCAGATTATTTTCCTTGGCAGTTGAAAAGGATGGCACCTTGTTTGAGCATGTTCATAGCAGAGGTGTGGGTACAGCCTGGAACATTGATTTTAGAAGGCCTCTTCTTGCTTGGGAAGAGGAGGAAGTGTTGAAACTTAATGATTTGGTTCGGAGAGTTCCTACACTAAATGAAGGCGCTGAAGACTATTGCTATTGGTTAGCGCACCCTTCTGGAGTCTTTACTGTGTCATCAGTATGGAAGTGGGTGGTAGCATGTAAAGGGCCAAATATCTCAGTCACCAAAAGCATTTGGAATAACTTAGCCCCTCCCAGAGTACAATTTCTGAGCTGGTTGGCTTGGAGAGGTAGGATTAAGTCCTCTGAATTCCTACAAAGAATTGGAGTATTGAATTCTAATGTTAGTGCACTGTGTGTGTTTTGTAAAGCTGAGGTGGAGTCTTTAAATCATGTCCTCCTTCACTGTCCTAGGATCTGGAGAATATGGGCCAGTATCATGTGTTGGTGGAACTTCAGCTGGGCTATTCCTGGTTCAGTGGAGGCAGTACTCCACTGCTGGCTTGGTCCAGTTATGAAGAAAAAGGTAAAGGAGATCTGGAAGATGATACCTTTGGCAGTAATGTGGTATGTGTGGAAACTCAGGAATGAATGCATATTTAATGAAGCACAACCACCTTTGGATGAGTTGGCTGATCTGGTAAAAACCAGAGTTGCTATGTGGGCTGTTTCTTCCTTGAGAGAGTTTAATTACTCGGTGCATGATGTGTTATATAACCTGTAGCAGGTCTGCAACTGTGTATAGATTAAGGGACTGAGGATGTGTTCATGTCTGTAAGCTGGTTAGTTGGTTTGTGGATGGCTCAATAGGCATCAGTGGCCCAAGCTAGTTCAATTGGCAGTAGTAGCAGGTGTACAAGCTTTTTTCTGTCATTGTTATGGATGTATCTGCATTATTCTGGTGTAGTGGCAGCATTCTTCATGACTGAATAGCTACTGTGATCTGTGTGTTGCACTGGTCTGAATGGTGACTTCTCCAACTTCCCCAGGTTTTGCTGTCAAATAGGATCAGTAGATGGGTACCTTGTTTTGGCTGGTGTTGTATGAATTGGTTGGTGGTCTGAATTTCTTGGTCAGAATTGGCTGCCGCTGTTCTGTGACCTGATTCTGGTACTGGTCTGTAGGTGGTGATTGAGAGGAACATATTAGAATGGACTCTTCTTTTTGGTTTGCTAATGCACTAATACTTGGTGTGATGCTGCTAAGCTATTGGTGGTTGTTCTGCTGCTATTGCGGCTGCAGAGTGGCAGTTGTTGCTGCTGATTTGTTTCTACTACGAAGGCCTGTTTCATGAATCTGTCGCTTAGAATCATATGTTGCAATATTGGATAGATGATGCCAACCCCAATCATCTGCTGGTCTGCTGCTGATAGCTAGGTGGTAATTATAGATGAATTGGTCTGCTCTGCCCTGCTGGAATTCTTTTGGGGGTTGCATGGTAAATTGGGGGTTGAGTTTTTGGGGTCTTTATTTTATTTCTGGGCATGGTCTCTCACCATCCCTTTGTGGTTGAGCTCGCAGATGATTGGGCTTTTTTCTCGGTGCCAACCTAGTTGGGATTGGGTTGTTAGCTTTGATGCGCTTCTGCTCTTCCACCTCTTTATTGATGTTCAACTCATATGTATGTGTATGTTTTTGTCATCAATAAAGTTCTCCTTTGCTGATCAAAAAAAATAAGTTAATGAAACAT